TTACCGCTGTCCATCAGTTCTGTAGCCCCATCATAGAAGGCCACCAAATTGGTCAGGCAGGATTTCCCCTTAGTGAAGCCATGCTGGCTGCCACCAAGCACCTTGTTGTTTTTCATGTGCCTTAGCATGCCTTCCAGGAGAATCTGCTCTAAGATTTTGCCAGGCACAGAGGTGAGACTGACTGGTCTGTAATTCCCCGGATCATCCATTTTCCCCTTCTTGAAAATGGGGGTTATCTGTCCCTTTTTCCAGTTGTCCGGAACTTCACCTGACTGTCATGATTTTTCAGATATGATGGACAGTGGCTTAGAAACTTCATTCATCAACTCCTTCAGGACCCGTGGATGGATTTCATCGGGTCCCCATGGACTTGTGTACATTCAGGTTTTTAAGATGGTCTCAAACCAGATCCTCTCCTACAGTGGGCCCAAGGTCTTCATTCTCACAGTCCCTGCGTCTGCCTTCCAAGACTTGGGTGGTGCGATCAGAGCCTTTGCCAGTGAAGACTGAGGGAAAGAAGTCATTCAGAACCTCAGCCTTCTCCAAATCCTGTGTAGCTAGTTCTCCCAATAGCTTCCTGAGGGGGCCTACATTCTCCCTAGTCTGTTTTTTATTTGCTATGTACCTGTAGAATCCCTTCCTGTTATCCTTAACATCCCTAGCCAAGTTTAATTCTAACTGGGCTTTAGCTTTCCTAACCTGGTCCGTAGCTTTCCGGAGAACATCGCTGTACTTTTCCCAGGGTGGCCTGTCCTTGCTTCCACTTTTTATAAGCCTCTTTTTTTCCTTCGATTTTTTCTCAGCAGCTCCTTATCCATCCAGGGAGGTCTCCTGGCCCTCCTGCTGCAATTCCTTCTAGCTGGGATGAAAACATCATCTGAAACGTCCTCAGAGCATCTGACTCTGGATAGATTCATTTTATGTGAACAGTTTGTTCAACAAAAGAGATGGGTTTGGATTAATTTGAATTAACTACAGAGTTTGGCTGAGAAATGCTTTTTAAAACTAACATTTAATTTCAATGGTTTTTTCAAATATACATGTTAATACTTCCAGATATTGAGCTGAATTTAATAAAATACATTAAAATATTTATATATTTTTTATCAAAACAGAAGCTTTTTTTTTTTTCCTGTTTTCCTGATGAAACTAGGAGGCTTTATTGTGGACTTTTCTTTGCCTCTGTATATTTCCTCCCCACACCTATGCTGGAACACCCAGAACAGGAACACAGATATCACAGCAGGATGTTGTCATTCCTGCCTGTGAGCATCCACACTTTTCCAGAGTAGGGATTCTGAGAATGTGTATGAATGTGTGTGTTATTTAATCTCCTCTTTTATTACTTTATTTTGCAATACTTTGCAAGTCAGGAAATAAAAGGTAAGGCATGATCAGCAAACTGAATCTTACTGGCTCTTTGGAGGAAGTAGAGAAGCCACCATAGAGAAGGGCACAAACCCAAAATAATTTCGCAGCTGCATCTGGATGCACCTAAGAAAAGAGATGGCGTGGCCAAGATTCACATAGGAAGAGAATTGCAGGGAATACATAAAAAACTCATTGAGCATTTTGGTATTGCAGGGAATGAGGCAAAAAAATTAACACAAGTGGGGGCTTAGGAGGAAAAATTTTTGAGAGATGGTGTTAAAAGAATGAGGGTGAGAATTAGCTAATGCCTAGTTGTAAAAAGAAATGGAGAAAGTGGAGTCATAGCTAATTAAGAGGTTACCAACCAAGGTCAGGAAAAGGACAGCAGGAGTTAAGCTGAGAGCGAGCAAGGGTGGGAGAGAAGGAGATGAGCAGACAAGTACTGGATTGGTGGGTGTCAGAGTGGGTGCAATGGGATTTTGGGTTGCAGCTGAGTGGAAAAAGAGTAATTTGAAGAAGGAATTAGTAAAGAAGATTAATATACAAACCTGGACCCTTCAGGGATATGAACAAGATGTAAAACAAAGAGAAATCAGTTCAAGGAAGTAGAGAAACATGGGAGGCACAGAAACACATAGTAGAGTAGCAATCAGCTGCTCCAGTAACAAAGTGAGCCACAAAAGCCTAATGGAAATGCATTAAAAATAAGTACTTATTTCCTGAATTTTATTTTATATTAAGCGGAGAAAGGGCTCCCAGTATTTTTGTGTTTCATTTTGTGACTATTTCTTTTTTTTTGGTCCAGATAAATATCCTAAAACCACTGAAAACAGAAAATGCACTGAGGAGCTTTCACTTGGTGGAAGTTACCTGTTTAAGTGTGTGTTGAATGTGAGGAAGGAGGAAGGAGGTAGCTTTTTGTCAGGTTTGTCCTGCACAAAATTCTCATGCATACCAACCCTGCATAAGTCTATGTCAATATTTAAAATATTTGGATCACTGCTATGAATGTTACTGGTAATGATAAGTATAGAGAAAGTTGTCTGAAGGTCTTTTTAGAACTCAGCTGTAAGCATGAGGCGTTGTATGTAGCTTGGCTGCAAGTCCTGTTTCAGGTATGAAGGAAAAATGCAAAAAGGTACCCACTGGAAGCTAAAATTTTGTACTGAGCACTTTCCAGGAGATTAAAATGAAAGCAACAAACTCAATCATTGAATGTAATTAACCATACCTCTGGTTTACATTTTGAAAAACTGTGATTTTTTAATTTTTATTTTTTTTTCTGTGCAGATATATTTATGGTAGACATGAAGGGGAAGTACCTACCAGAAACTTCCAGGGGTTCACCAAAAAGTGGGGGACGGGTGCTTAAGTACAAATATCTATAAATTTATCGGGGCAACTCTAAATTGGTGGTGTTTCTTAACCCATAAGGCACCTTATGCTGTCAGACTCCTAACAGTGTTTACAGAAAAATAGTCTAGAAGCAAACTACGCTAGGTAACAAAAAGAAGATTCCCTAATATATTGGTTAATTATGACAGAAAATATCAGTCATTAAAAAGTGCCCTGATATTTACAAGTTTCTTTTCAATACCAAGGTTGTATTCCCCAGATACAAGATCAGCCATCCTGCACTTGCCTCCTGGTGAACCTAGGAGTGATTCCTTCAGAGGTAATGGAGTTTGACTCTTGAAATTGGCTTAAAATGAAGTGTAAGTGAAAACTCTGCAACTTGAGGTTTAAGTTTGTATTGCTGTTATGTTTATTTGTTTAACACTGAAAAAATATAAACAGTTATGGTCCCAGCTTCCAAAAGAGCACAGTGTTTAACGGCTTGACTCTGTGGACATGCATGCATCTGTTTTATTATTTGTTCTACTACCTTAAGCCCTGATCCTATGTGTTAACACAGCTTTTGCAACACTGTCATGTGTATTTATCTTTGGGTCAGGCAATTACTGTTAGAAGTAATGCAGATGACAGCTAAGTTATTTACAATTACATAGCCCACTGCTTGATTTTACAGCTATGCGTTGATGCTCCATGCAATCTGTGTACCCAGTAAATAGGTTTTCTTTCAGATCTCTTTTCGGCAAGACTGATCAAAGGCTGAGGCATGTCCGTGTTTTGTTTTGAGATCTCGCATCGGAGACAATGTGCTTCAATTGACAATGCAGGTTGTTGTGATAGCCTTTAGGCACGATGCCACTAATGATGTCCAAGCATAGTAACTGCGGAAAGCAAACTCTGAAACATCGTTGTGGGTAAGCGGGTTAAGGAAACAGAGATTGGAGGAAGTTGTTACTGCAACGGTTCGTGATATCCGAAACATTTGTTTTAGTGCAATTAAGATAAGCTAGCAGCAATAAAATTAATGATCCTGTGGTAATCTAATGAGAAAAAGTGTGAGAAGACATAACCAATAAAAAATGGAAATTGCATATTTTCTGAAGAGTACTTAATCACTTCCAGATTGTGCATGCTCTAGTTTTCCTTGTATTTATTAGCAGAATACATTAATACACCACCACTATGAAATGCTGCAGTTTATTTTTCTTGTAACCTTTATCTTTGTGGAAGGCAGGCTGCAGTTTTCAGTCTGGTGCACGCTTCACCATCGTCTATCCATCCTCTTTGCTACACACAAACAAATATATAAGCAGAATTCTACATAGAGAAAAAGTAGCTACAAATTGTAACCTGCCCCTTTAATCTTTATTAAATACCAATTTCACAGCATACCACAGTTCATACATAGTCAGTTCCCATTCAAGTTGTATGTGTGTTACTTAAAACAGCTGGACTGTATTTGTGTTTACACAAGAAAATGGACCTGACAAGTTGCTGTGGCATAATTTAATAGCAAAATTGGTGCTGTGATAATCTCTCCCCTTTCTGAGCAGACTTCCTGCGCTTGAGGAAAAGTTATCACTTCTGTGTAATTAATGAAAGTTAGCTACTTACCTGTGTTAAGTATATCAGAATACGTACATGTAATTAACACAGTTCTGTCAGATATTTTCCTGTCTGGAGGAGGAAAGCTTTAAACAGCAGAGGAAAACCCAATCAATTTTTTTAATGGCTGTGTTGTGAAACACAATTATCTTGGTATTTGTATGTTTATTTTACAAGATGTACACAGTATTGTGTATTGACATTGAGATGAATTAATATCCTTTATTGAGGTGGGTATTTGTGATTATGCTGTCACAGTAGCTTGTCCAATGCATGCCAGGGCTTGCTTGCTCTGATTGGGTATCACATGATTCAGAGACACATATAAACAGGTGAGTCCTGAGGAGTACTTTTTGCTCTCTCGTAGCATTTTTAACTCAGAAGCCCGTGCAAAGGTTGGGGGTTTATTTCGGAAGTGAATACAGAGGCACCGTCCCCACTCACACCCCTACTGCACAAGCGGAGCAGCTACACGGACGGCGGGGAGCGGGAGCACACGGGAATGCTGGGTTGTGATTGGTCCGTTTTCCCGCGGCTCCAGGTGATTGGTGCTCGCTGCTGCCCTTCTGGAAGGTTCGGCGCAGGAGCTGAGGGGAAGGGCAGTGCAGGTGAGGGTTACTTGGAGTCTGCGATAATGGTGGGGTCATTCAGCACGGATTAGTTCCCTGCTTGTCTGGTTTATCTGCGTGCACAGCTTTGTGCTTATTGTGGAGAGTGCAGGTGCAGGCAGCCACAAGAGCCTAGCTCAAGCATGGCTGCCTAGTGCCTCATCTAGAAGCACCTTCGGTTCAGGCTGTGTGTTGCTTGAGAACTGAGGTGAAGCACCCAGTGTCAACAGCTGCATTTGGTTTTGTAACTGTGTTGTTACAGAAAGTAGATGAGGTCTGAGGGCTATTACTCCTCTTCAGGTAGTCAAAATTCTGGTGGTGACTACCTCTGTTGGCTTTGTTCTGCTGAGGAAAATAGTAGATAACACTGTCCTGCAGCACTGTGGAAATTGGTATTTCAGTAATAGCTTAAAATGCCTGGGTTTTGTGCCGGACTAACAGGGTGACTCCTTTTCTGCAGGAATATATTCATATTTTATCCATTAATCTCAATTCTTGAAGTGCTTGTCAATTACAGAAGAGTGATGCAATTATTTTGTGTGAGTTATGCAATGTATAGATGCCATTCTTGTACCTCAGGATAAGAGAACTTGGGACACTACTATGAAATTTACATCCATCTTTCCATGAAATATAAGACTTGTGACCAAGGAAATGAGTGGGACTGTAACAACACAGGCTCCATCTTTCGTGTCTCAAAATAATTGAGTCTGTGCAGGCAGCCTTACCCTGAGCAGTAAAGATGTTTTCATCCATAGCTGTTTCCCATGCCCTTCTGCAGGTGGTTACTCTGTCTAAAACATCATTGGGCTTCAGCTATTGTTACTGTGTGCTGAATCTGAAACAGAGGAAAGCAGTCAAGTATTGCTACATCTGTCCTGTTAAAAAGATATTTTTGCTTTAAATTGTATTATTAAAACTGCCTTGGGAGCAAGAGCACGGAGAAGAGCCTCACTAAGACTTGAAGGGCTGCTGCTGCGTTTGCCAGGTAACAGTCTTTTTGTTAACCAGATGGTACTGGAGAAAGAGAGAACTTTTAGGAAGGAGTCCTCACTGAAGAAAGGCTTTTGGGTCCTGATCTGTATGTTTGCTTATTTTGCTTATTGGCCAACTCAAAGAGTGTGTATTTATCAGTCATTCAAAATAATTCTGTAATACAATATTAGCTCTGTTCTTTCTGCAAAAAAAGTGTTTAACATAAACCCGTGACCAGAAACAGTAATGTAGAAGGATTGAGCTTTCTTGCTTGTGGTTCCTAATTATTTCGGAAAGTAGAAACTATGGGAAATACCAGACTCATCCCAGTTACTGTGAGAAATTCTGACTTTTTATGATAAGGTGCATGTGTCTGCATGGCTGTGCCTTTTTTCCTAGAGGTTATGGCTGCAGGTAGTACGGAAGGTGTAGAGTAATGTCATGCAGTACTTAGTCCAACTTGCATCCCTGGATATGCCAGTTTAGTGCAACTTTTCCTTCTATTTAGCTTTTTTGCTGTTCTCTGCATTTTTTACATTAAACTTCTGAGGTACTTCACAAAGAAATATGTGAAATTAGGCTATTACAGTGAATTACAGTGGAAGTTGAAGAAAATATTGGAAGCGTTTCAGGGAGAGCAACATTACGTAAAAGAAATACTCTTATTTGCTGTGAGAATTCAGAATAAATGGAATGGAGAGGCTATCCATCTAAATCCCTCATTAGGAATTGTTCACTTCCATCTGCAACAGAACATGCCTGGAGAACCATGTGCTGCTTAGTGTGAATATAAGCAGTTTGGGAAAGAGGCTAGTTGTTAGCAACTAACAGTGGTGGTTGTGTGTTCTGCTCTCAGCTTCAACAAGCTGATGTAGACAAGATAATATGAAAATGTGCATTGTCTGCCAACTAAAAGTGCTCAGATCTATTACGTATGGCCTTACTGCTACTGTGTGAAGTCTAGGCTTTGATTTCTTCAGTCCGTTGTACTAGCAATAGTATTGTTATGATGAAAAAGACCTTGTAGGACTTGAAAGATGACGACATAGTTATAATTCTGTTGGAAATCATGTCGCATTTACAATATCATACCACATTTACTGCTTCTACTTCAGTGTGCAATATTTGATGATCTTAAAGAAGCTATTTATTTACATTTTTTGAAATTTTTTTTCTTGGGTGAACACAAGAAATTTACACTCTGTACTTTTCTTACCAGTTCCAAAGCTAGCTGTACTCTCAACCCCACCACAAATTATGTACATCCCCTTCTACAGTCTAGTTTACCGAGTGGTTTTCCACCGTGGAAAAATATATGAATTTAAGGAATACATGAAAAAAAAAGCAGACTCCAGATACAGTAGATTAGGTTGCAGAGACATAATAACATCTCCATAAGGTCCTAACTCTTTGATGGATCTCTTAAGGAGTTTTTATAAATAAGGCCTTTCACAGAGTCGTGGTTGGGCATGAAGCTGACTGAGGCTGCGATCAGGCTTGCATTAGGCTGCTGAGGAAAAGGGAAAGCTTGTTGCAACATGCTGTTTGTTATCTGCTGGTAGCTTGCTCAAGTATCTCACAGTTGCAGAATGGAAAGGAAAGCACTATCATGAATTTGGCAGTCACGAAGGCAACCAAATTGATCATCATTTATGCTGTGTACTCTTCTTGTGATTCTCTAGTATTAGGCACTGAACAGAGGAGAAACAGCTAAGATGTAAAGAGGAAGCTAAATTCTTGCTCTGGAGAGTTTTGGTTTGGTTTAAAGTTGCTATGTGGTAGCACAGTGTTGTGATGTTTGTGCTGTAGATGCTGCAGGAGAATAGTAAATGAGAAACTTAATGATTGCTTGAAAACATGAAAAAACACAACTAAAAACCATCCCATGAATGTAACACCTGTGCTTTTTTTTTTCTTTCACAGTCATCTTAAGTGCCTAATTTTTCATGTTTTCAGTAGACCTTCCACAATAAGATGTAAAAGCTGTGCTGGATCATTATCTGTTATATCATTATTACTAGAATAAAATTATCCCCTTCCCAAAACTTTGGAAAGGAACGAAATTACAGAATGTTTAAGCATGGATTCTAAAGTACATAGCAAAGATTTTATTCATGAAGTTTTAATGCCTGAGTACAATCTGAATATGTTTCTGTGAAGGTTTTAATTGCAAGCCGATAACAAGGGAGTCTTTTATGGCAACAGTCATTCATTGGATCATGATCAAAAAGCAAAGGAATACTGAAGAAGGGAGATCAACTCCGTCATTGCTCATGTTCCCTCTGCTGCTTTCAGTATAATTATGATGTATTTCTGCATTCCAGAATTTAGGGGTGGGGGGGTGGGGAAATAATGGGGGAGGGAATTTAAACCCTTTGGTAGTTTTGACTCACAAGAAATGTGTTCTTATTCAAAGAGAGTTCTGTCTCATTACAGAAACCAAACAATAACCATTCTCAGTGGCACTGAAATGAGCTGTGGGCTGGACCAGCAAACGCAGTACCAGATCTGTCCAGGGAAACATTGGGGGTTGTGTGTCTTGGTGGATAGACCCTGCTTGTTCCTTGGACAAACATGAAGACTTGCCTCTTTGCATTGAGCTATGTATACTTTCACCATGGGAATATTTGAAAGCCCATCATGTCACTGTGGCCATGTGGATTAAGGGAGGGAATCCCATGTGTTTTATAAGCAGACCTGGAAGCACCACTCACCATGCATCTGTGAGACTGGTATTAGTGTTTTACTTAACCAGCCATTCAGATCAATTGTATTTTTCACTTTTGCAATTGGTGGTTGAGTAAACAAAATATATGCTTATATAAAGTTATTTACAGAGCACTGGTGATCTCGAGTGACTTAAATTTCATCTTCTTGTTGAGGCTTCCAAACCAGGAGGGACAATCTGATCTGTTATTCCAGTTTGATGGTAAGATACTAAAACCCCAGTTGTCTAGCTTGTTAAAAGTGTGTGGGAATTGTTAGCCTGATTGTGTTGGCCTGTGCTGGTAGAAACAGAATCATAGTACTGCTACTAAATGCCACTGTATGTCTTGTAGCCTTGTGAATGTAGTAATGGACAGGGGTTTTTTGTCAAGCAAATTTTCCATGTTCTTGTAGATAGCTTTTTCGAAACTTACTTTCTTAAACGTGTTTAACCATCCTTGATCTCATCTGTCATTATCCAGAGTCAGAATTTCTTTTAAGCAGCATTGCATACCTGAGAATGAGAGAGTGGACAGTGGACCTTTGGCTTAAAGGTGGGGGATGCTACAGCCAGTGCCAGCTGTGGCCAATAAGGAGTTGGTCATTTTGCTCATTTATTGCAGAGCCCTCAGGCTTGCAGTCACTGAACAGCCTTTCATCCTTCTGACTTCAAAGTACTGCTCAGAACTTTGCAGAAACAGGCTTTTAGTTAGATCTGTAATTGAAACATATCTATTAGACTGACCTACCTTGTCTTCTCAAAGCATCTTGTATGTGACCTTACAGCAAATGAATGTTGTTTGCAGGTAGAGCGTGGGCTTGTGTAATTATTGCAGCTTTTTTTAGTTATGTATAAATGCGCATTCCTGAAATTCCATTTGAGACACAAATTAAACACTAGCTTATCTCCCATTACCTATATTTAAAGAATAATCAGGGCTTTCAGAGGTTTGGAAATTAATTGTTTCATTATAAATTTGGCTTTGGCATTTTTGACCTGGCCTTCAGATTTTGTCTTCTTTATCCAGAGGAGCTGAGAAAATTGTGATCAAAGAGCTAAAACTACAGTTGGTTTAGAGAATGTGGTAGGGAAATACAAGATAAATGCACTTGTGAGATTCCTAAAAATTCACATATGTGCACACAAAGGTGTGTGAAATCCTCATTTCTTTGCATTCTGTCATAACAACGGATGTTCTGGCAGTACATCTGCCTCATTGATAAAGGATTTTCAGAGCTAGAAGCATTATCTACCTTAGTCTCGAGTTAAAAATCCTGTCAATAAGACTCCTCCTGAAATAGATTGGGAATGTCTGGTTATGAGGTGGTATGTCAGAGTGTTTGACCTGAGTCTGGTTGGGATGGGGACTCTACACAGCAGCTTGTATGCTGCTGTGCTTTGGATTCCTGACTAAAACATTCTTCCCCACACAGACCTTCATATTTACGGCAAGCGGAACACACATGGTGGCTAGTGTTCAAATAATGTGTTGCTAGGGGCAGCTGGCTGAATATTCCAAGCTGGAATATTCTGGTGGAAATACAGTGCTTATATACGCGGTGATAAAAACGTAAGGCAACCCTGTTGCATGAGCTTGAGAATGAGCTGTTTGAGGATCTGGGCTCTGTGGCTCACAATGAGCAAGCCCCTGTTGGTCTTCGTGTATGAGATTCCTGGAGAATGTGTAGTATAGGAAAATCACAGTTATAAGTAGCGTTGATCTTCAAAATGTGAGGAAAGGAAGTAGCTAAATATGCCATAGGACTTTGGTTCTTTGAATACCCTGTAAAATAGCTTCAAAATTTTTGTTACGTCAGCTAATACGGATACTGGTTAACCCTAGCTGTGCAGTGACGTACCGGAAATCTGTGACTACTTAATGGCAAAATCAGCTGCAGCCAGTTTGGGGTCTAGCAGAAGACCCAAGAATACCTCAAGTATACAGTAACAACAAAAAAAAAAAATATCAAACCAAAACAAACCAAAATACATACATATATATACAAATGTCAAGGGTAGTATTTTGATGGAAGTGTCATGTCGTTTTTGTACTTCACTATGCTGAGGGGCAAAAAAGCAGATGTGACCTGTGGCAAGTTGGTACTGGAGTGAGCAGTGGGTAAGAAGGAGAAAAGAGAGACTGGGATATATTAGCTACAGGAAATTAGGGAAAGCATAGATCTTGCTGAGAATCCAGGAAGCAAATACAGACATGTTATGTTGTTTCTGCTGAATTTTTTCAACATTCCCAATCCACAAGAAATTCAGAATGACATTGGTTTGGGTCCAGTTCAGACTCAGTTCCTCTGAAGCAAAGAATGCTAATCTTTTGTAAGATCTTTGACCAGAATCATCTCAGGATTTAAAACAGAAACATTCATTCTGATGATAATTTGACCATCACTAAATTGGCCAGCTTCAGAACCATGTTAGTCGAGGTGTCCAGTAATGGCACTGTGTCTCAGACAGAAATTTTTGCTCTGAATGGGAATGTTTGCTTCTTTACATTAGTCAGTTGCTGCTCACAACATCGATCCATCTTTTAGGGATTATAAGAGACTATGTCACAGAACAAAAAGCCTTTTTTTTTTTTTTTTTTAACCAGAGATTGTATTTTTCTTTTGGAGGCTTTGCAAATCTCAATACGGCTGTACCTCTGAAATACAATGACATTTTGCAGGGGTTGCTAAGGAGATTTTGTGGGAAGGAAATGTACTGGTAATTTGCTTTTAAGTTGTTTACAGGAGAATATGAATGAAATTTCACCACCCACAGCAAGGCAAATGTCTGTGTGTGATATTATTTCAGAAAGGTTTCAGTAGAGAAGAAAATAGCTGTACGAATGCACTATTTGTAATCCCTTCAGGGATGATAAAATATGATCTATGTGTCTTTAGGATAGAGGGCATAAACTTTTTAATCTCATTTCATCTTTTTATCTTTCAAACCAGGATGTGGAATGCTGTAGTTTTTGCTGGTTTTAATTTGAATTTTTAATTTTGGAATGTAAATGGTATAGCAAGTGTTTATTGGAAATATTTAGAGTTCCAAAGTTGGTATTTCATGCTGTGTCATGGTGAATGGCTTTAAAGCTATGAAAAAACCCTACTGCTCCCATGCAGTTTTCCTCTCAGGAAAACAAGAAAACACTACCAGTCTTTGGTGGGGAAGAAATTCCTTCTTGACTCCAAAATAAAGGCTTTCTTATCCCTAAGATACGCTAAAGTGAGGCACCATCACACCTTCAATATCCTGCCTTTTCCTGTGGTCAGTCTTTTGTATTTTAGAAAGAAATAGTTATGTATCATGGGGAAGAGTTTCGAAGTATAAATAGTCTTAAAGCCTAGAATTAAAGTGGAATAGATCTCAGCTCTGTAAATCACAGAGGGGCACTTTGGCAGTGACTGTTTGCCACTGTGACATTTAGCTTTTATCTTGATTATTCATTTTTTTTCTGTAAAATTCTTATTTAGGGATCAGTTGGTAGCAAATGATTGATACGGTTCTTCAGTTTGATTTTTCTGACCTGACAAGGTTACGGTTGACTTTGCTATGTAGATCTGTTGACTTAACCTGCACTTGTAAAGAAATTGCTGCAGAATTGTGGATTTTTTTTTTCACTTATTTGAGGAAAAACTTACATTGTTTTTGATTTCCAACCTACCCCACCTTCCTCACTTCCTTTCCCACCCCACCCCACCCCCCAAAAAAAAAAAAAGGACTTTACTGTAGTTTAACATCACAGGGCTATTGGCTAGTTTAGCAGCTGGTCCTGATGTCAATATATCCCACCGCTCACTTTCGGTGATGTTTGGAGCCGCTGTGGTTGGTTTGCCATAGCTGTGCTGCTGGGAAGAAACCCCACTGAATGTATTCTGTTGAGAACTTACTTTTCCCTTACGTGCTTCCGTGTACCAGGAGGTGACTGAAGGTATCCTGTTAGCAGGTCTGAGGCTGACTGACGGCTAATTGCAATTAATGGGACTGGCAATTTAATAGAACTTTCAGTCTGGCTTCTCATCAGTATTTGTGAATACACATTCTTTTTTCTAACTTACTATTGGTTTTTATTAACCAGAAAGACCTGACTCTAAGTAAAAATATTCAAAATAAACACCATGAAATATTCACTACCTTCTGCAGAGTAAGCCTGAGCTATCTGGAAACCTGTCAGGATTCATAGTCTGGCTGAATCTTTTGAGTCTACTCTGAATTAATTGTCAAATTTACCCTTATCTACAGTCTCTGCAATTAAAATACATTTCTAAGTCTTCTAAATTCTTCTTTTGTATTTCCTTTCATGTTCTCTTAACTTCCTTTTCTATATTATGCTTACTTTTAATGCAACTTTGGAAGACAAAAGCATTCTCAAGTTTCAGCCTTGACTCTTCAGATATCAGAGCATTTTCCACCCAGTATTCTGGGCACAATGGTGATACTTAGAGTTTTAATAAAGATCTGAAGAAAGGGAAATTAATTAGTACTTTGCTAATAAGAGATGCAGATGCTGTGACTTTCCAGGTAAGATACTAATAAGCCATTTTACTGTGTATTTGCCCATGCTGATATAATCGTATTCTCCTGTTAGTATCTTTTTGTACAAGTCTGTACCAAGGTGACACACGAAGAGGGTGAGGTACAATTTTACAGCTGCTTCAGTCTCTTTACTAAGATTTCTTTCTTTTTTTTTTTTTTCCCAAGCAGAAGATGCTTTTATCTATTTTATTTTGCTAATTTAAATAGAAAAATCATCAAACCTTGAATATTTTGAGTTTCTGTACATGTTGTAAGACTGAGTACTATGAAAGGAAAGCTTCTTTAGACTTAATTGTAGCAGCAGTCAGACCATAGAGCTAGAAGAAAAAGTGTTGTAAAATGGATGGCATTTGCAGTAAATAGCAGAACTCTGATTTCTTCTCTTGAACAAAAGTCCTCCCAAGAAAAATTTCTTCCAAATTTCAGGCATATAAATTAAATATAAAGATTCATATGCCAACATATTCATATGTTGGCAGGTTACATTTGTATTCTGCAGAGAGCTTGTACTAACTTTCTGCACACATTCAAGAGTCATTCTGAGGGTAATTTGGCTTTTTTTCTCATGTAATAACTAAAAAAAACCCAGCAATTAACT